CTTTCCCTAATGCAGTGCCAAAACTAATCAGTCTTCACACAGCTAACATACTAACAACAAGCAGACTCTGAGGAAATATGCTTTTATCACAGTAACAGTGTCAAAACAGTATTATTCATTCAAAATTTATTTTGCAGATAAAATTGCTGTGTTAACAAAATGACTTTTCAGTTTTTCAATTAAATATTCAATTTATTTATTTTTTTTAAAAAAAGAATTAGTGCCTCAGGTTAGGGAGAATAATATGAAATCAGTTCAACATAGAGTCTGTTGTTGCCACATCAAGAGTAATAAATAATGCAGAAATAAAAATCAACTTTTTGAAATGCTAGTATTATTACAATGTAGTATGTTCCTCAAAAAAATTGTGCCTGTAAAGCACTGACTTTTCTTATAGTTAAGACAGTGTTTCAAGGGGCTAAGCTGATTTTCTTACATAAAGAGAGTAAATAAAGTCTTTAAGGGAACTGATTAATCTCTTTTTTAATATATTGTTTCAGTATTTCACTCTTGCAACAAAATATGTCACCTCCCAAGTTCTCCCTTTATCCGTATCTAACCTTGATGAGGGTAAACCCATTAACAAGGACAGGTTGTTATCTGCGAACAATTCTGTTCTTCCTGAGTGAAATTCATGGCTGCTGTAGTAGCTACAGAATAATAATAGGCAATGGACAAAAGTTAGTAAGGTTGTTTGCAGAAGTCAAACACAAAGGTGCTTTTAAGTGAGCCTTTGAGTTATAGTAAAAGAAGCCCTATAGCATCAGTGTCATTTGTGGTTCAGTAAAGACTTCTATAGCCCAACAATACCCGTTTTTCCTTTTTAACACTAGTCATGTTGTCCTGTAAATCACGTTTATAGGAAGGATATTTCTTTATTAGTTTCAAGTCAGGTAGTGATCAGTAGAAGTAATCCTCTGGGCAAAATTACTCCCAGCCTCAGCTTCAAACACGTTTTGATTAATTTATTATATTCTCAGCCTGTGCAGACCTCCTACTGGCATCAGTAACAAGCAATGCACTGAGAAAAACAGAGAACTTTCAAAATGAGACGTTATTTGTGTTTGAGAAGAGTAGTCTAACATTTTTCTCTGTACTAATGCTGTCACATTATATATGCAGTGGTGGGGTTTGCTGTGGTTTTATATTTTGGCACCAGCTGTAATGGGGATGCCATCACACTGTACACAGAGGGAACAAATCCATGTGTTAATATTATATTTGGAGACCACTTTATCGATAATTGATACTGTGAATTTCATAAATATCCAACAAACTACACAGAAGTATGTCAAGACTTAAAAAAATGTAGTTAAATTCCATCAAAAAGGAGTTACCACTTAGCAGCCTGTCCTTTGCTTAAATGAAGGAAAAAAGTTAAGATGGAGCTGGGGAAAAAAGTGATCCCGGCAAGGGATCATGCAAGTGAAATATTATGCTAGGCTGTAATTTCAGTGGTCTACTTCAGATTCTTTTAGATATTGTGGGTTATTAAGTAACCAAATTGCATTCAAGTAATTCAGCACCTGCTTCATCAAGCTACAGAATGTGGAATTAGATATAGACCACTTCAGATTCACTGATTTGATTATGTGGTAGAGAGAGATTGGTGAATATACATTAATCCTATGAAATTAAATCAAGAAAATTAGCAGAAGATATTCCTAGAGGCCTATTTGGTGTCTATTTGCATAAAATGCTGTATTACCTGCTTACTGATTATTTTTTTTTTAACCTTTTTTTTTTTTTTTTGTGATGAGAAATTAAATGGAACTGAAGAACTGAGTTTACATAAAAAATTAAGGAGGAGGAATGTATGGGTTCAAATCAGAAATCCGTTTAACTCCTGCCTCTGAGGACAGCCAGTACCAGACCATTAGAGCATAATAAAGCAAGCACTGGGTGTTTCCTAATGTGGATTTTAGAGACCACACTGCTACTTTGTTTATATTCAATTATGTGTGATGAATTTTGCTTCTATTTATTTTCTGTGCCAGTTCGTTATTCTTTTCTGGTGTCTTAAGTATCATGTATAAGTATGCAAGTATGATGTAATCATGCACACTGTGAAGAAGCATTTCCTTTTTCTTGGCTTTAAGAATTCTTTAAGATGTTGTCTTCTGATGTTTTAGTCTTAGTTATAAGAAATTATGACAAAATAAGCAAATAAAGCTTATTCATTCTTTATGCATGCCATTTGTAATTGTATAGACTTCTGACCCTATTGTCTGTTTATTCTTTATAGTCTTAGTTATTTCATCTCTTCACATATAGAGATTCCTGTATTTCTGACCATGTTTTGTACTGTTTACAAATTTGCTATTAGCACTGGACACTTTATACTTGGTGGGAAGTTAACTAATGTTTCCCACAACTGCTCACTATTGTGTCCAGAAGAAGAATAAACAAATAATTTAATTTTAAGCCTGTCCTGTGGGCTTTTCAAGTTAAGTGAGATCAACTCCATACCAAATTACTTCATTTCAAATTTTAGTACGGCCTGTCAAGCCATTTCATACTGTATGTGAAATGAACCTTTTTTGTAATTTTGTTAAGGTTTTCTAAGCAATTCAGTTTTCTGAACTATCCCACCTATAAGTGATTAATTTGTATGCACTATCAGTATTGACTTTTATATTGATTTATTGAAGCAGAAAAAGTAAAGTTATTGACATAAAGCAATAATAAATAATAAGGTGATAAAGAATTTAAAAAACACAAGAAAGAAGCATAAGTAATCTTAGAACTTAAAAAATATTTGGTCTGGGGGTGTGCTTCAAATAATTCTATAAGAAATACATTTTTACCTCAGGGAAATATTTGTGATTCACAGTAATTTCCATTTTTTGGTTGGAGACAAAATGGAATTTTAATGGACAGTGATAAACACAAAGCACAGCATATTTTAGAAAAGCCCCTGTCCTGTTGTGGTTAGTCTACATAGCTCAAATCTGAGACATGGGTTCTGTTTCACTTATTCAGAATAGATGCTTGAACCCTGTTCTGCTGTACTGAGAATAATCACCAACAGATTTTGGTGGATTATAGAATGCCTCACCTGTTTTGTCCAGCTGTTTTTGTTGGACCTGAGAAAACATCCGTAGTTCATGTTTGTTACATACAGTGCATTTCTGCAACCTGTTTTGAGTTCCATTAAATTTTTTCTCAAAAAAAGGTAATTTGTCACTGAAGCAGTTTTTCTTTTCCTCTCATTATGTGCACGAGACGCTGCTTTTTCATGCAAAGTTCCCTGTCGTATATTCTCTCATCACTCAAAAAAAAATCATCACATGCTTTGTATTTTTACTTTATTTGCAATATTTAATAATCTCTCTGGTTTATATTGTTGCTACAGGTTTCTCTTGGACTTCTCCATGCTCGAGCTACTCATATCCTCTGGCCTCCACAACGCTGGCAGAAGTTACATCCAGTGCTACCTCCAGAACGCAAACCGCTCCAGAGAGAGCAGGAGTGATCTAGATATTGGATCTAAATGGAAAAATACTGAAGTTTAAACTTGAAGAGTTGCAGTGGTTTACCACAACCTGTAAGAGCTTTGCCAAGTGTCCCATAATGTCACGTACCGTATCAGCAAATACATGTGGCATCTTCATTTAAAAATGCCACCTTAACTGTAAAGGTATTTCTAGGTTTTCTTGTTTGTTTTGTTGTTTGGTGGTTTTTTAAAATCCTAAACAATAGTTCATATTGTATTATTTTGGTTTGAAATAATTAGTTGTAGCAAGTTTGAATGTGGTTTGTTGTTTTTTTTCTGGGAGCAGTAAAATGTTTGACTGTTTATGTCTATACCTGTGCTTCTCTGGATAAGAAATTATTACCACCTTCAATAAAATATTTTAATCTTTTACATTCAGCTTGTTTCTGTAATAACTGAACAGATCTTCTATTATTCTCATTGATTGCATATGAAAAGAAAATTAACACATAATAGCTTTGGATTGTCCTACAATTTCCAATGCTAAAGATTCTGTACTTTTGTAGCTGAAAAGTCATTAATATGTGTCATAGATTTTTTTTTAAAAGCTAATGTGTTTTTTCTCTTTTAATGCAGCTCGTACTTATTATTAAACTCAGTACTTGTTACTAATATTTAATTTTTCAGGAGTATTTGATGAAAACATTCTTTGTAATCTTGCTGAAGCAGATATTCAAAATAGAAAAACTATATTGCAGTGTCTGAAGGCGATGTGTCATTTATTTCTCAATTATAGTAAATAATTGTTAGTATTGATTGCCACATTTCTTTGAAAATATATAATTGATTATAAATATTATACAATTAATACTATAAATATATAATTGATATTATAAGAGCACTGTGAATATGCAATAAAATTTCTGCACACGTTATACATGAAAAGAAGTTGCAAAAGTATGCATTTTCAGCTGCATACTATAATATGAGCCAGCTTATTTTCGTATTTATTAAATTTTGTTTCAGATAAGATAGTACTTAAAAATTGAACAAATCACATGAAAGATCTTCAAACATTTCAGCTAAAATCATGCAAGTATCAGAACTTCAGAGAAGATGAAAATAAGTCTGTAGCTCTTTGAAGACACACATCTCTGTATCAGCAAGGTGATAGGTTCAATTACCATGAAAACCCTCTATAACATGTCTAATCTTCTTAAGTTCTCCAGCTCTGTAGACTCTCTGAACACTTTACTGTCGTGTGGCGTGAACATTCTTTGTTCCAAAAAGCTGTTTCATAGGTTTCTGAACTCATCTTAGTTAAAACTAATGCAGTTTGTTTGGGTGAGGTGTCCCTCTAGGGACATCCTCCACCCTCCAGGCCACACACCCCACTTGCTGGGTAGTCTAGCTTGGTGCTGGCCAGTGTCATTCACTGACAAGCCTCCTCATTGCACCCCATACTGGCACCACAGACATGTGGGCCTCCCATCCCTGGTCCACCCCAGTCACTGTCACTCAGGCCTTCCCCACATATCCCTGATGCATATATCCCAGAGTGCTGCACACAGGAAAATCACTAGAAATGGACTTTAATGAGAAGAAGAAGATTAATATGCATGACATTTTACATCATCACATAGTTTAGTGAATGGAAATAGCTCAATGAAATCATTAGCATTTGAGTAAGATAACACAACAGATCATTCAGCACCCAGAGCATGAAGAGCAAACCCATCTTGCCAAAGCAGAAAGGACCAAGCAGCAGTGATAACACTTGACCACATATTTAAAGGTCTTACTATTTTACTGAGATAATAATATATTTGATTTTCAACCTTCAGATATAAAACACATTGTGATAAACCTGTTCTGACAGTAATGAAACCAGTAGCAAAATTCTCATGGATTGAGGCCATCATGATTAGCTTTCTAAGTCAGCATCTTCCTCTTTAACCAATGACCTGGTGTTTTGGTGCTTACTCACATCTGCAATGCAATAGGCCATTGGTTACATGGGAGTAAAATAAGAATGAGCACACATGATAAGTAGGACATCAGAAAATGCAAGGATTATGAGATATAAAAACTTTTTTTTATGAGGAGTCACAAAATACCTTTTCTATGGACCAAGATGCAGAATTGTCTTGGATGGATTCCAGACTGCACTTGGCCAGCAAGGAGAGGTGTTGTGAGCTGATCAGGAATTGGTGCTCTTAGCAGACCTGAGCAGCTGCATCTGAGATAGTAACAGAGCAAAGCTATGTGCCTCAGCTATGTCTAAGTATCCCCACCTCATACAGGAAACCAAAATGCCAAGTGAGAAAGTGGAAAGCTGGTGCATGAATGATCATATAATGCATATAAGTACCCTTAATTAGGTGCTTAGGATTTCCTGTGACAACAAAACACTGTACCAGATGTGTTGAACTTTCTTTCTTCTACCATAACATACCTAGATGATGCAACATAAACACTAGCAATCTGTCACATCATACACAAAGCACTAGGTGTTCAGGTCTGAAGCCATTACAAAATGGATAATTCGATGCAGAACCATACAAGGAAGAGAAGATAAAGCCAAGACACTGTATTGCACTTCCATATACAGTTTGTGCTGCCTGGCTCCTCCAGTATTAATACTAATGAAATAACATACTTACCAGACATCAGAGATCACGTCTGAGACATACAAACTCAAAGAAACATAGTAAAGGCAAGTAATGACAGGTACAACCTCTTGCTATGCAGAATTTTGGGTTTCACAAATCTTATTCATTCCTTTAGATTTGACTACTGCACTAAAATCAGGCAGAGCTCTGAACACTTCCATCACTTGTATGTACAAGTAAAATAGCTCTCAGAGGCATCATTCTGCAGGCTTATTACTCAGGAGTCTAGCAGCTGATGAACCTGCTTGCCCTTGTGTCACTTCAGTGATCCTCTGCTATTTTTCTATAATAGGAAATAATCTTCTCTCTTTAGACTATTTTGCTATCATTACTTTTATGATCAAGAAAATAGTTACTTTCTTCCTCCCCATACCAACATGGTCTGTTCTTCTTATCATGGTCTGTTAAGCATCATGTCTGAGGTCATATAATGTAATCATGATATTTTTGGAAGAAATCCTGGATTTCCTAGATCATAGTCTACCTTTTTAATGGTAAGACTGCCTGTCATCCACTGTCATTCATTGTCTTGCACAATTAATGCACGAATGAAACATTTGTGTTGCAATCTAAATGAAAGAAAAAAGATCTCTGAAAAGCAAAATTCCAAGTAGACAGCTTAGCCCTCACCATTGTGTGGTGAGAGGGAAAGATGAGTCTCTTCAGACCTAAATTTTCCTGTGGTAGTATAAGCTCATCAAAAGTGTAATAAGGCCTTATTAATGGCAAATGCTGTAGAAAATGCTCTTTTTCTGTAAATATCCAATTTCACCCAAAGAGACTGGATTTGTGCAAATAATATGTAGCAGCATTTTCTAAGCCGTGCTTTTGTGCAGAAATAAATTAAAGTTCTTGAAGAGAACCAGAAGACAAAGGCTGCAAGAAAACCACATAGCGATGGCTTAGGGGATAGACCAGGAACCCCAGAGATAACAGAGCTGAAATCCTCATCCCTGCACCTGTACTCCTTTTCAGTAATTCCTTTGTTTGAAGTAAATGCACAGATTATTAAATCTGGTGCCACAACTACAAACTCAATTTAATCTATTTTTCCCAGTGTTTTTTAATTAAAAAGAAATAATATTGTAGCCTATTGTGGAAGTTTCCGGCTTATCTGTTATGCCAGTGAATGCTGCGGGTTTATTTGTTAGATTTTTCTTTTGTGAAATAAAAGATAAGCCAGAAGCTGGTTTATGTAACAGCACCTCAAGAGACTTTTAAGGAGAACATTACATAGAAAATATAGCCAATACTCAAATGGTGTCACCATCCAAATACCTTCTTGATTGGAATTTATTAAGAGTGTGATTGGATGAGTGGCCCACCTTTGGATGATTTAGTGTCTAAAAACCTGGAGTTGTAGAGCACTTAAAAAATTCAGGATCTGTATCTGAATATCAGGTTATCCTGATCATACAGGGACAAAAACTTTAATTTTAAAAATTGTTTAATTTGTGGTAGCTTCTTGGAACTATATTAACCTGCCACATCATGTACTATCTTCCTCATCCCACTCACAAATGTCTCAGCATTTTATTTAACATCTAACCTTTTCTCATATCCTTCTATTAAATGTCAAAATTGGATTTTACATCCTTTGGGAACTAAAATGTATCACTCCGATATTTTTTTCTTACACATTTTCCAATTAATAAATGAAACATATAACAGCATATTTTTAGTACTCCCTACAGTTTTATCCATTTGATTACAAGGATTAATCATACAAATGGTCCTGATTTTTTTGCAGGATTGTGATGTCTCAGGATCTAAGATCATGCTACAGTACTTAACTTTTTAACCTGCTTTTGATGAGCCTGTAATTAAATAAATACATTTCCTTTGTTCTCCTGCATTCTTCCCTCATTATATATGGGTCATTCTGAATCTGACATGAGATACCTTAAGGGTGCAGATAAATAGTCCATTTGTCCAGTAACCTGCTCCTGAAAGGGGTCAGTAAGTTATACTTCCTATAATGAAGAGTTTGGAATAACCTGCCATAAAGAAAATTACTTTCCAGTCCCAGGCAGTTAATGTTAGCATTATGCCCTGAGGCATAAAAGTTTAAATCCCTTACTTATCCTACAACCTTTCTAATGTAACTGAATATTCTCATTATTTATACAAACATTTAATGATCACTTCAACAGCAACATCTGAAAAGTCTCAGGCTGTAAATAGCAAACAGCTGAGTAAAGTCTGAAATTTTTAGCCTTAACTTCTCTAAACTTGTGCTATCCACTATGCTAAGAAAGGAGCAATTATTTCTGTGTTGTCTGCTTCTGCCTGTGGGATGCTTGGCCTACAGTAACTGTTTGAAAAATCTGGAAAACGGAAATGTTTTCCTTTCCTTTCTGTAAGGAG